TAGACCATCTGCACTATGTTTCAATGGTAATCCTTCAATACACGAACAGATAGTGGATGAGCTAAGAAGAAGAGGAATAATGAGGTGTGTAAAATTAGTTTAATATATTGTACAAATATGCCAAATTTGCTTAGGGCTAGCGATCGTTCAATGAAGATGAGATCTGATAGCTCTGCGATAGACCAGAGGAGATCAGCTGCGTTATCTCCTCAGCAAGAAGCGCAGTCGGATTCAACACCTGCTCACAAAGTATGCTGATTAATCCTTTCACGAGGCATTTATTGCTTTCATTGGCACTTTCATAATATGGCTGGAATCGATGGTGCTGGCTAAGTTTACGTAGCAGTACCATCACTTCAAAAAGTTATGCTGTACCGTAGGTGTATAGACCGTATCGCTCATCGGGTAGCTGCGCAGAGAACTTGTTCATAGTTGGCTTAAATACCATTTATTTGAGAAAGGGTATTTTCAGCTTTCCGTTGCTTGTGACACTTCCCTATCCACATCCAGCGAAAAATTGGAAAGTAGCGTTAGTAATCGGAGTAGTACCACCACAACAACATCGGCAGAAAACGAGGCGACTCCGAGTACCTCTACTGGACATCCGGAAGATAAACCCGTTCCGGATTACTGCACCGGTAATGAGGAGGAGGTAAGAGAGTGCTTTTCCTCAATATTTCTCTGTTTCAAACCTACTTCGCGATGTCAATGACTGTAAATTGGAATTGCACTCGTGATTTTTTCCTTGAGCATTGCATTACATATCATTTGGCCAATGTTATTTGGTATTATTGTGGTTTTTGAGGCGCCCTCAAACAGACCTGATTTTCAATTTAAATTTTCTTCTTTTATACTGTGCGCATAGTCAGATGCACTTTATAACAATTGCATCTTATCAGGATGCTCCTTATTCTAGTGTTATCATTATTATTGTAGAAAAATCGAAATTTTTCATAAATGCAACAACTGCGCCTTGACTTTTAGCAACCTTTCGAGTGTTTCATGCTTCTTTTTGCAGGACAAACGTTTGAAAAAGCTACATTATGCAGCAAAGGAATTCTACACTGTGCAAGAGTCATTCCTTAAATATCTAACAATTATGGGAGAGGTACAAATTAATTCACATTTTCACGAAGTTCAGCGTTATTTGATTCTTATCTTAGATTTATCCGGAATATGTCACCGAGTTTGGTAAGCGTTTGGGTAAAGACCTACTTAGTCGTCAAGGATCTCAAGAACACGTGGTGCGCGAACTGCAGGTTCTTTTCGAACAGCTCAAAGGTTTCCATCAGCTACTTCTAGAAGAATTCTCTAAACGTCTTGATTCATGGTGGGTGAAGAAGTACCTTCAAAAGTTTCGGAAATCGGTAGAATTTAGTAGTTCTTACTGGTATAAGATCAGGAACGCAATTGTCTTATTTTCCTTCGATATTTGGACTCTAAATCAAATTGTTGTTTAGGAGTTCTCTTGAACCCAATATGGCGGAAGTCATCGTTAAGTATGCTGACTTTTTGAAAATTTGCAAACCTTTTCTTCTTCAAAAGGGACGGTTTGTACAAGAACTCACTCGTTTGCGCGAAGAAAACAAGGATTTTGACAACGCTACTGTTGCGGTTAGTCTTATGCGATTTTCGGCTTTGTTTTTTTTTGTTGGTATTTTTTAATGTAAACGCAACTCATTCATTCTCCTTTTCAGTTTGAACAAAAGATTCTGAAGCGAGGAGTTGGCGCTGTAGTACAACAGTTAGATCAAGTACATCAGAACTTTATGAGGTTTGCCAATATTCTTTTTTGCGCATGTTCATTGAGACCTCTATCTTTGCAGGTACAAGATACTGATGATGAGTTACAACAGGTATTTAAAGCCGGACAGCGAAGAGCAACGTAAGACTTCTGGTCAGTGAAGCCCCTTTTTGTAGTCAGAATTAGTGTTTCTGAATTTTTCTCTTGTTTTTTCTAGAGGCTATAGCAAAATTGGAAAAAATAGCACAGTCCGTGAATGATGCCATGGGACTCCCAAGTAGCGAGCAATTGTGCAAACTGTACGATCGATTCCAGGTGAGAAATATCATATTAGAGAAAGTCTTACAAACTTCCAACGGGTGCGTGCCACCACTGAGACTGTCAGCGAAAAGTCGCCGTCGCACGACCATACCGGCCGCCTAGCCTAGGTTCCCAGAGATCGAGCCTTTTGTGGAAGTATGTCATAAGGCTAACAGTCCCACTAATTGCGTTTTCCTTTAGGGGCTTAGCAGTTATAAGACTACGACAGTCTATCTTTGTTTCGTTGTTATAACGAGAGCTACGCACTTTTAATCACTGCCATTTGAGTTATATAGAAAAAAGTAATTAAGTAATCTGTTTGCAACACCATTGTCGTGTTTTCCTTTTTTTTCTTCTGGTGTAAAAGCTTCTTGTCTATAGAATCCCATTTCAAAATTTCCACGAGTGGAAGTTCCCAGTGAAATCATATGTCAATTTATACAAATTCGGCATATGAATACTTCAAATGATCCTATGATTTTTTTCACTTATTTCTTGAGATTTATAGACAGCGGTGTCGTAGCACCCTCATTTTTTCGCTTAAATCTTTCAGATCATGTTCGGAGTCAAAGCGCTTCAATTGACTGAGATTGCCTTGCATGAGTCTGTGCGTGCTCTGCTGTGCGAACTGTCCGACCACCTGATCGCGTATGTTGCCGCGCGCGGTGCTTGCGTTATTGCCACTCCCAAGTAATGACCCCTCCCCATTGGGAGGCGGTCGAGTGGCGCGATTTTTGTCGGCTGTCAATATATGCACATGCTAATAACACAATAATAAGCAATTTTCATGAGCTTTTAACCTTTTCAAAAAAAAGAGCAACAATATATCAGCTAGGTCATAGTATATGGGCAATATGAAAGCTTGCGAGTGATTTTTGTTAATGCTACAGACAAAAACCTCTCCACATCTATTTCTTT